CACAGGTAGTGTAGTTGTAATTTGGAAATGTGAGGCTCAAAGGGCTGGGTGGAGAGCCCAAGGGAGGGAAATCCAGAGAAAGCACCTGACATGGCCCAGGAGTGGTTTTTCACTGTTCCAGGCAGGTATGGTGGCTGTAGGGGTTTTCCTTGTTGAGCTCAAGTGCCAGAACTGGTCCTGGAGATGGGGACTCTGAGGCCCAGAGGGACACAGATGGGAGGGCCCAGCTCGGGTTCCCTTCAGCAGTCTGTCATCTGTCTTCAAATCGTCCCTGCTCTCCTAGCCGTGCAGAGAGGTCAGCGATGGCAGAAGCTACTTGGAGAGAAGTAGGGTGCTCGGTGCGGTGGCTCAGCTGCCCAGCCTGTGATCTAAAATCCTGTCATGTCCCTTGTTCCTCCAGCTACTGGAACCTGTTCTGCTTCTGGGCAAGGAGCGGTTCGCTGGGGTGGACATCCGAGTCCGAGTGAAGGGTGGCGGTCACGTAGCCCAGATTTATGGTGAGTCGCCGGAACGGGGCATACGGTGGGAGGTGGCTCTGAGAGCAAAGCCCTACTCTCGGGGCTTCCCAAAGCTGATACGTCCTTTTGTGCGTCTTCTTCACAGCAATTCGCCAGTCCATCTCCAAAGCCCTGGTGGCCTATTACCAGAAATGTGAGTAAGAATGGCTCCTTCCCATCGGGTGGGTGGCAGGCAAGTGGAGGACCAGCCCCGCATTTAGCCCCAGAGACCAGGAGGGTTCTTCCAGGGTTGTCTCAATCTTCACTGTCCTCTCATCCCCAGATGTGGATGAGGCTTCCAAGAAGGAGATCAAAGACATCCTCATCCAGTACGACCGGACCCTGCTGGTAGCTGATCCCCGGCGCTGCGAATCCAAAAAGTTTGGTGGTCCTGGTGCCCGTGCTCGTTACCAGAAATCCTACCGATAAACCAATTGTGAGGATTAGGGTTCACCTTTATAATAAACAATTGTCATGGGACTTCAGGTTTCAAGGACTGTGCTGTGGTCGTTTTGTGGTGGGTCTTTGACTAAAAGAAATGCGAGAAACAGCCCGGCTCACTGCCGGTCTGGATTGTAAGGCTTTCCAGCGTTTTCAGAAGACACCACGCCTGGGTTAGTGTGGGTGGGTGGGGAGGCGGGGGTGGGGGGGCGAGCTTGAGACCCAGTCTCCCCGCGCTTGTAGTAGAGTCCAGCGTGCGGGCCCCATGGAGGCGGGGTGGTTCTAGGCCATTGGTTGTGTGGGGTGTCCTCGTGAGTTTTTTTTTAGTCCTCTTGCTGCTGTTGTGATGGCGTGTCAGGGAGTAGCGGGGGAAAGGTGTAAGATCAGTAAACGTTAATGGAAACTTGGGTGCCGCCTGAAGTCAACTAGTAGGGCCGTGATTGGATTGGGAAGGGATCTTTCCTAATGCCAGTCTGTAGGTAGATAGACTCGAGATGTGGGAGGGGTGGGATCCTTCTGACTGGCTTCATCCTTCAGGATGTCAATACTACCTCCCGGGGAAGGGCCCCCTGTGGCCTCTCGAAAGCAGGTCCCGATCACACTCATTGCGGCAACTGCCTTTACTGGGCTCAGAATGTGGGTCTGAGGACTTGTTCATCTGTTGTGCCTGCCACGTAGTAAGAGCCAACATATTGTAGGCTCTCCATTGCTACCACTGGGCTACACGGTATTTCCGTTGTCGAAAGTTCTGTGGACAGCACTGGTGTATGTTTAAGGAAGCAAAATGTTGCTTGTGGATTCAGTTACTTTTGGTTTTCCCTCCCCATTTTTACAGTGAAGCTAATGAGCTTCATTGGGTGGGAAGGGCATCTCTGCCCCATCAGCCCTTGCAGCCGGCCTGGACACCTCAGCCATCTGTCCCCAGGCGGGGTCCCACATGCTCCCCCTGCTGAGGGTACTGGCATTGATGGAGAGGGGAAAATTTTAACAATTTTTTCATGAAAGAAGGAACTTGAGATTTATTGACCAGTTGTCTTTTCGGTATGTGCCCCACTCCATCTAGTAGTCACGTGCAGCTGGCAAACTGGGCAGCGCAGATGAGAGAACGCTGCCGTCATTGAGGAAAATGGGACTGGACGCGGCACCGATGTGTGGGGAGCGTATGCAAATAGCGTTTCTTACAGATGGACGGTGTGGTTGATTGGTACCAACCAAGCGCCAGGCTAAGCATTGTTAGGTATACTTGACGACATGCTCGTGAGGTGGCTGACAGGCTGGTGTCTAAATGTTAGGTAAGATTAGCCTAGTGGCCATGTAACTGCAGCTCATCAAGTTTAAATTGCAGCTGTAGTTAACGGGTTTGGATGGCATTAACCTAAATGTCCTGGAGAGGGCAGGAGGCCACTACCCTTGCACTTTGAGCCTGATCGGTGGCTCTAAAGACGGCTGGGCTTACAGTGGACGAGCAAGGAAGGTGTTCCTGAGGAGGTGTGGGAGCTGGGGCTGTGAAGCAGGTAGGACTCAGGCAGGTGGGAGTAATGGAGGGGGGCGGTCAGGGGTCAGGTGGGGCTTAAGCAAGCCTGGTGTCCCTGGTTTCCTACAGCGTTCAGAGACCCCCTTACAAGACTCCTGGCTCCCTGCCAGAGGCACAGCTGGGATGCATCTTGCATCTGGAAATGCTGAGGGGGCTCGCCTCTCTTTCCCCACTTCAGGCTTTGGAGGAGACGGCCCTTTTCTCCCTCCCTGCCGCCTCCTCAAATACCGGGAATTCCGGCGCCACTGGGAGCCCAGGCCAGGCTGAGAACTTCCCTTCAGCTGGGAATGTGCAGCTGGGGGTGGAGGAGGGGAGGGCCAGAGTCCTGACCCTGGCGAGGCTGCGGTGCAGTAGGCCCAGGCCACTCAGCCCAGGCCCTAGTGTATGGCCCAGTAACCGTCCAATAAGTAAGTACCAGAAGCCAGCAGCTAATACTGAGCCAGGCTCTGTTTGGGATACTTTACTCTGCCAAGAATCACCTAGAGCCCCTGGTGCACTAGGCTGCAAGCCCTGTTCTGGTAGGGAAGGGTTTTCTTGAACCAGGCCTGGTACAGGATAGACACTCAACAGCTCAGAGCATGGACTCGGGCTACGTGGTGTGGATCTGAGTTCCAACTCTGTCCCTTAGCAATGCGACTGAGCAAATCCCTTATTCTCTCTATGCCTCTGTTTCCTCATCTCCACAATGAGGATCAGAAACCATCCTTGTGGCACACGGGCGGCTCACTTGGTTAAGCATGTGACTCTTGATCTCAGCTCAGATCATGATCTGGTTCGTCGGTTCGAGCCCTGTGTCGGGGTCCACATTGACAGTGCGGAACCGGCTTGGGACACTGACTTCCTCTGCTCTCTCTCAAAATAAAACAAATATATAAAAACTTAAAGAAACCATCCTCATGTGCCTTTTAGAGATGAGGATTCAGAGTGAATGAGTTCACATAAAGTGACTAATGCCTGAGCTATGCAGTTAGCACTCCATAAATTTCCACTTTTTTTGTTAGCTGATTGTTAAAACTTCCGATTCCTAGGCTCCTGCCCTGGAGGTTCTGATTCCATAGGTTGGGACTATTGGGGGATCTGTTAATTTGAACAATGCCCCGATGAGTCAGGCTCAGATACATTTGGGAAATGAGGATATGCTCACTGTATCTTTGCAATGATCTTACAAGGCAGGTACTGTTGTCCTCGTACAATTGAGAAAACCCAGACTCCCAAGGGAGGTTATACACCAACTGGAAAAGTCAGGACTTGGAACTCAGCTAGGACACTGAAGCCGTAGGGAATTCCAGGAAAAAATAAATGAGACAATGTGCAAAAGCACAAGAGGTTTAGCATTCAATGAACAAAGCTAGTATTCCAAAGAAACTGCTTAACTTAGGCAGCTCGCTGGGCATGCCATTGCTGGGAGGGGGCAGAAGGATTCTAACATAAAAGTCTTTGTCTCTGACCTGAATTTCTTTTTTGGGGGGTGTGGGGGCACGCCGAGGCACTCTAGAGGCCCCAAACTAGAGCGAGGGGGTGAAGAGATCCAGTGTGCGTAGGTGGGCACAAGAATTGGAACATTCATGACGTTGGGGAGTGGTTGTCCAGAGAACTCAGATGTGGAACAGACTTCCAGAATCCCAAACACATTCATTCTGGTGTCCGCATGGACTGGGCTCTGAAATTCTGTAGTCCCAAGACCCAGTATGATCTAAGGAGGGATGGGATGGCGATAGAGAACGTTGGATGGTTGCCCTGCTGGATTAGATGGTCGGGTGAATGAGACGTAGGAGCGGCTGGAGGTGACATTGTGAAGGGACGGATGGAGAGGGCTGGTTGGAGAAAACAGGTGGGATGATGGAGGAATGGACTGGTGTTAGAAAGGATACTAGATGGCGTAGGGGTAGGGTGATGATGGATGAATAGGATAGAGACGGTTAAATAAAGCATGCTGTATGGATCGGGAGATGGACAGGCAGACGGGAGGAGAGGGCTGGGGAGACACTGGATGGATAGACCCAGGGATAGCTGAGCAGAAGAGAGGACAGAACACATGAACTGGATAAATTGCGGAGGGAACGGACTTCTACATCTGCCTGGGACAGAGCTGCTTAACTTGGCTTTCCTGGATGGCATCAAGCCGTCCATAAACTCTCTGAAACAGCACACACCAAACTCTAATGGGTGGGTGTCAGCAACGCTCAAAGAAGTTTGAGATTCCCCCCCACCCCGTACTGAGCCACGGATTCGTGCTGTGTCAGACCTTCCCATTCGTTGTCTGGTCCTCCCCCACTGCCTCCGGAATGGGAAAAGATACAGAACTTCAAAATATGAATGAACAAAATATTAATGACAACCCCTTCCCCCATCCCTGTTGAGTTAATCAAGGTAAGTAAGGAGAGCCATTTGCCAAAGCAGATCCCAGTTGCTGGAAAGCTGCGGCAATTTTTACACCTTTGTTCAGTGTCTGGACATCTGGGTGAAGTTCTGAGGGTCTGTGGCATCTGGTTGAAGTCCTTGCTTTTCAAGAAGTCTGATATCCTGGCTCACATGTGGAAAGGGGCATCAGGAGCTCCCTGGGCCCTACGAAGGCCCACAGATTCCTGGGTGGGGGCCAAGAGAGCAGGATGGTTTAACCTGACTTGGGCCTTGGCTGGCCGTAGCCGCCCACCGCCCCCGACATGGATGTTGACCGTGGTGGCATAGCTGAGCCTCCTGGCTGGGGGTGGTGGGGGCTGGGGCTGGGGTGGTGGTGAAGGTGCCCGCGATGCCGGGGCAGAGGAGGACCAGGGGCCCCGGGAGGCTGGGGGAACTTCTCCCCCAGGCCCTTGTCTCCGAGCGAGGCTTTGGCTGATGTAGGACGCTGCCAGGTATCTTGAGAGGGCAGCTGCACTGGGACCCAGGAGCTGACGGGTTGGAGGAGGGGGACTGTGGGGTGGGGTCAACTCTGAAGACTCTGACCGGGCGACCTGAGACACCGGGTGGCCTCCTGGTTTGGAGAAAACCACGGTGGTTGGAACCGGGATGGGTAACAGGCCCTGGCTGTCCCGAGAGCCTTCCTGCTCAGGCAAAGCGGTCGCAGCTGGAACATGAGTGTCCGTGAGGCTCTTCTGCTCCAACAAAGGTGTAAGTTTTTGGACGTGGAGGTCTGTGAAGCTTTGTTCCTGAAGCAGAGGTGCAGCAGATAGCCCCTGGACGTCTGGGAGGCCTCCCTGCTTGGGCAAAGGCGGGAGGGCTTGGAGGGCTTGGGCCTGGGTGTCCTTGAGGCCTTGTTGCCGGGGCAAAGGTGCGGCAGCTGGGACATTCGGGTTCTGGGACAAGGACAGTGGGGCGTCGGCTGGGATCTGACGGTCTAGGCAGCTTCCGTGTGCAGGCACAGCTGAGGTACCCGGAACCTGAATGTCTGAGAGGTCTTGGGGCAGAGGCAGTGGGGCGTTGGCTGGGGTCTGGTGGCTTAGGCGGCCTCCGTACGCAGGCCCAGGTGAAGTACCTGGGACCTGAACGTCTGGGAGGTCATGCTGCAAGGGCAGTGGAGTGTTGCCTGGGATCTGATGGTCCGGGCTGCTTCCGGGCGTAAGCAAAGTGTTGACGGCTTGTTCACAAACAGCAGCTGGGAACTGAACATCCCCGGAACCGCCTTGCTTCGTTGACAGGGTGGTGGTTGGGCTCTGGCTCTGTAGGTGGCCTTCTTTCTTGAGCACAGGAGTGGTGGCTAAACCCATGGCATCAGAACCACGTCCCTGCTTGGGTACAGCTGGGCTGGTCGGAACCTCGATGTCCATGTGGCCTCTGTGCTCAGGCAAAGGCGTGGTAGCTGGAACTTGGGTTTCCAGGTGGCCTTCTTGATCAGGTAAAGTTGTAGCTGGAACCTGATCGTGTGCGGGGTCTTCTTGCTCGGGCAAGGGTGTGGGGGCTCCAGCCACACTCTGTATATTCCAGAGGCCTCCTGGCCCAGGCAAAGGGGTAGCAGCTGGAACCTGGATGCTCAGACGGTCTTGCTCAGGCAAATTTGAAACATCTAGACCCTGGCCACCCAGGCAGCCTCCCTGCTTAGACAAAGGTGTGGCAGCTTGAACCCGGGTGGCGGGACCCAGAGGGACAGATTCCTGGGCACACGTCAGCGGGAAGGCCAGCTCACATACCAGCACGTGTCCAAAGGCAGGCAGGGGCCCTGTGTGCACAGAAAGAACGGAGTCAGGACCGCGATCTCAGTGTGGGCCGTCTCTGCTGACCACACACCCGGACCTCACCTGGCTCGGCCTGCTCACGGGGCAGGGAGGGGGACAGCTGCGGCTGGGCCAGAGCACGGGGCCGGCGGCAGGGCGCGTTGGCCGACGCCCGGGTCTCTGCCCGCTGCATCTGCTGGATCCGCTCGCTGTAAAGCCGGGCCAGCTCTCGCACTCGGGAAGCTGTCCTCTCCGAACTCGGGGCTCCCGCCTTCCCACTCCCGCCACCTCCACCCAGATCGGAGTCTTCCAGGATGAGCAGTGGCTCTGGGAAACCGGGCCGGGTCAGCTGCCCCTGCTCCAGTGCCTGCCAGGCGCTCCGGATTTCTGAACAAGAGCGGAATCCCAGCTCATCTGAGAATCCCTGGTCTCGGGTGACATCCTGGGACTGGAAATCTGGGAAGGATTCCCCTTCCTCAGGATCCTGCTGCCCTACCCTGCCCCCAGAGGACCGCTCTCCTTTGGTGGAACTGCTTCCGGGAAACAGTTCTCTCCTCGTGGCTAGAGCCTCATCGGGCTCCCGCAGAGCTCCCTGAAGCCAGGAATCACAGGGAAGGGCGGGAGTGCTGGGAAGGCTAGGAATGTCAGGGACACTAGGTATGGATGGAAGGCAGGGCATTTCAAAAACACTGGAAATGTCAGGGAGGCTGGGAAGGTGGGGAATCTTGGGAATTTCAGACAGGCTGGGAATTTCAGGGAGGTTGGGTACGTCTGGACTTTTGGTACGGCTGGGAACGTCGGGAATTTCAGCCGCACTGGAACTTTCGAGCCCTTCTAGCACATGGAGTGGGGAAGGCTCCCGTTCATCCAACTCCAGCTCTTCCTCCTCCTCCTCTTCTGAAGAGTCCCGGCTGGGAAGGGCTTGGAATGTGAGGGCTTCACTGTCGCCTGGCACCTGGGAGTCTCCAGGGAACGTGGTGATGTCGTGGGGGGGCAGCTGTAGTGGGCACTGGGGAAGAGGCCAAAGATACCATGGTGGGCTGGCCCTCCGGCCCCCCGGGCTGTGCCTGACCGAGCTAAATCCCAAGGACGCCCTGATGTGACACCCAGCTCACCCCTGGATCCCGGAGGCCTCTTTGGTTCAGCAGTTCCAGGATCTCCTCCGTGATCGAGGTCCCGGAGGGTTCCAGCGTGGGGGGGCCAGTGTCCTCTAGGTCCTCAGGGGGTCCGGAAGCTGGAACTGGTGGCTGAGGCTCCAAGGGGGGGTAGAGCTCCCCCTCACTGCCAGCATGCTGTGAGCAAGGAAAGAGGACGGAGGGCAAGAGTCGAGGGCCGCCCATCTCTTCCTCCCAGACTCAGGAGTCCGGGTCCCCAGACCCTGTGCTAGGGTATTTCTTACCTTGAGTCTAGGCTTAGCTGGGATGGAGAGATGAGAAAGAGAAGAGTGAGATGCAGAATCTGGATGATTCCTTACAGCCGATCCGCTGCCCCTATCAGCCCTCCCCCACGCACACGGGGCATCTCTCGGGAAGAGATAGACAGAGAGGCATGGACCCGGCCGGGCTAGGGTGGCCACTTACCATTCTGTGCAAACATAACATACGGGTCCTTTACTGGCTCTGGGGAGAGGACACAGGAACGTCAGGGGCCCAGCTCCCCCCGCGTTCTCTCGTCAACTTTCAGGTGGAGGACACTCACCAGACTGTCTGCGGCCACGGCGGGTAGCAGAGGGTCCTGGAGACGGAGCTGTGGGAGAGGCAGAGGAGAACCCCACGATGAGCCCAGCTCCAGGCTGGAGGGGGCAGGCCGGGGGTACAATTCCTGGGGGAGAAGCGGGGGAACCTCAGGGTTTCATCTTCTTTACCTGTGTTCCTTCGTCCAGGGGTGAAATTTCTAGCATCCCGAGGTCGGGGAGACCCAAGAGGGGGTGTCGGGGGCTCTGGGATGGGCTTACTTTTAGGAGCACCTGCGGAGAGACATTGGGAACCCCGTGATCTACTTTTCCTTGGAAGTCATCCACCTACTTCCACATCCTCCCAACCCAAGGCCCCAACTCACAGTGCAGGCTGTTTTCAAGGAGAACTTGCTTTGCCTGAAAGAGACCAGGGTGAGGGGCTGTGTCGCTGGGGGCTGCCTCTGAGCGCCCCAGTCACAGTCCTATTAACAGGTGCTACTCTGTATGAGGCACGTCACACGACTGATGATTATCAGTAGTCCCCACCGGTGTGCGAACTCGGTGCTCTGACTCCTCCAGGTGAGGAAACCGAGGCCAGAGAGGTAGCGTCACTTGCCCAAAGTCACACAGCAGCGACGTGTTGGAGCTGGGATTCAAACCCAGGCAGGAATTTATTTTTATCTACTTGTTTTTTTTAAAGAGTTGGCATCCGTCTTACTTACTTTTTTAACGTTTTATTTATTTTTGAGAGAGGGGCGCCTGGGTGGCTCAGTCGGTTGAGCAACCGACTTCCGGCTCAGGGCATGATCTCATGGTTTGTGAGTTCGAGCCCCGCGTCGGGCTCTGTGCTGACAGCTCGGAGCCTGGAGCCCGCTTCGGATTCTGTGTCTCCCTCGCTCTCTGCCCCTCCCCTACTCATGCTCTGTCTCAGAAATAAGTGAACATTAAAAAAAAAAATACTTTTGAGAGAGTGCAAGTGGGGGAGGGGCAGAGAGACGGGGACAGAGGATCCCGTGAAGGCTCTGTCTTGACTGCAGCGAGCTCAATGTGGGGCTCACACTCATGAACCGGGAGATCTGAAGTCAGATGTTCTATGAGCCCCAGCCACAGGTGCCCCCTCCTCTTTTTAAAGAAACTTACTGATCCGTCTGTCTGCAGCCCCCACCCACTCAGTGTCGTGCACAATGAGAATGCCTCCAGCATTCACCCTCTTGATGTACTTGGCAGAGCTGTACACCGGCAGGATGGGCGGGTTCTCAAAAAGAAAAAGGCGCTGGAGACAGTGAATCCACAGCCTCACTTCTCTTGCCGTTCTGGCCTGGGGGGTGGGATGGAGGTGCTGGAGCCAGGTGAAGGCTGGGCTGAGTGGGGAACCTGACCTCAGCCCCACCTTGCACTCACCTGGAGCAGATGCCTGTGTTTGGGAATGGTCAGATCGGACACCTTGAATCCTAGAGGATCTCGAGGACTCTCGCTCACACTCAGGTTGCAGCACTGGGTAAAGGGGACAGAACGGGGCAGGGAGCTCAGAGCCCCGAGACTCAGTGTGTATCTGGGTTCCTACCTCCTAGAAAGATGTGCCCCATGAGGTCGTGGTGGCGTGCAGTCCCCACTTGTGGAATCCCCCCACCAGGCTGGGCTCTGCTCTCCCTCACCAGTCTCTCGCCCTCATCTGGGTCCAGATGTGCTCCCCTCATGAAGACGCTTGCCTGGTGGGCAAATCCAGCCCCCCCGCCACCGGCCTGTATCCTGATGCCCTCACCCTTCATTAAACTTCACCCCCATCCTTGGACTCAAGAAAACACGGCCCTCAAATTGAGGCTGGGTTGTTCCTCCTTGGCAGACCCCGCCTGCCCCCAGCTAGCCCGTAGGTACACAGGTGTAGGTATACAGAATACACCTTCCAGGTGACATCCTGGTCCTGCCCCCAACCCTTAACTCACGAAGATATGGCCCTTGTAGGTGTACTCCGGACCCCGGCGTTTGGCCACGAGCAGCATCCGTGAGAAGAGAAAGAGCAGCCTCTCGCCCCCTCGAAGTCGGGGGCCGCCCCCTCCGCCACCTCGGAACGCGCCCTCTAGCACCAGCTCCCCGAAAGCACTGAGCTCCGGGCCAGTCCAGCCGCCAAGCCGCCGCTGCACTTCCTGCCGGGCCCGCCAGGTGCGCAGGGCACAGGGGCGCGCACACACACCAAGACCAGGAGGTTAGCAACAAGGCTGCACTACCCCAGCCCATCCTCCGAGGCCACCCCCACCAAAGGCCCTCGTGCCCACTGCCCCCATCCAGCAGCCCCAGCCCACCCTGGGGTCACCTGGAGGCGCGCAGCATGCTCCTGCTTGCGTTTCATGTCATTGATGTACCAGGCGACCGCTGTCATGGACACAATGGCCTCCTCCACCATCTCACGGCCCCCGGCGCCCGGGCCCTCTGCCCAGTGCTTGCCTAGCTCCTGCCAGGCAGGCACCCAGGGAGGGAACAGAAACAAGAGAAAAGGATGGTAATGATAGGAGACAGATACCAAGGCAGCGACAGAGGTGGCGACCCAGAGGAGGACAGAGACAAACAGGCAGAGACAGAAAGAGGAATCAGCTGGAGCCAGTCCCCACTGGTGGCAAGAACTTGCCCCCGACTGCTGGCCCAGTTTCTAAGGACTTGTCCTGGGTCCACCCTGCAGCTGTACCACCGGGCGGTCAACGGCCAGGACCTTGCCCTCCCTGAGCAGCACCCCCAGGGCCACGGCTGACCTGCAACAGCAGATGGTACTTGAGGATGCGCTGAACAGGCTTCAGCAGGAAGCTCTGCAGGGGCAGCGAGTGGCGGAGCTGGGCCTGGCGCTCCTGCAGCCACAGGGCTGCGGGCGGGGACAGCGACAGCTCCCGGAGCAGGGCTAGGGAGCTGGGGGCGGGGCACAGGTCAGGGGGCTGGCAGCCCCCAGCGGGGAGGGTGCGGCGGGGCGTGGCCAGGGTTTCAGGGGCTGGCAGGGGTCAGGGGCAGCTTAGGGAGAGCTCGGTTAAGGTCATAGGCTGGCAGGGGCTGGAGCTGGATGGGTCGAGGTGGAGGGAGGTTGGCTGGCACATCAACTCAGCGGGCAAAGGCCTGGGGCCCAGCGGGGGCTCCTCACTCCTCACCCCTCACCTCGGGTAGTTCATGCAGTACAATGTGTAGATGTCAAAATCCTCACTCTGTGGGTGACACAGCAGTTAGGGAGACCTGAGGTCCCAACTCCCCGGGACCCCCCGCCTTACCCCAGCCCCATCCCGGACTGAGAGCCCCCACCCTGACTCACCCTTTGCACGAAGCACTCGGCAATGCCCCCTGCGCTGCTGCTGCCCTCCAGGTCCTCCAGGAGCTCACTGTGGGGGAGAGGGCGAGGTCAGGGACTGCCCTGTCCCCACAGCCCCCCGTGGGACGACTCCAGGAGGCTGGGGATTTGGTGGCTGCCAGGATCGCTCAAGGGGCTATCATATCCGAAGGGAGTCTTCTGATTGCTACGTGGGGAGATCACAACCCCGCTCAGACTTTGTCCATGGACAGCATCCCGTTCCTCAACCCCAAATCTTGTCACAGCTGCCATGAGCCTAGGGGTCTCGTGATATGACCCAGGGAGAGGGGTGTCATGGCCCTCAAAGCTGGGATCATCTTAAGAGGCTGCTGTGATCCCGAGATCTCGTCATGTCATCTCAGAGCTCCTGCAATAACGTGGAGATCGATCTCATCAAGACGTTCACAGGGGTCATGATCCTCGGACACCAGCATCTTCCTCACTGGGTCCAGGCCAACCATCTGGTTTGTCTGGGACCGAGGGGTTTCTCGGGACGACGTGGTCACGCGAATGCTCACGCTATCATGATCTTTAGGCCCCCCACATGAGCCGTGGGTTCACCGTGATCTCAGACCTGACCTAGTGCTGAGACCCATCCCCGTACTTAGATCTCATCTGGGTCCTCGGGCTCCTATCCAACTCCGCCTCCACCACTCTGGCTCCTTCACTCCCCATCATGATCCCTGCCCAATGTCACTACCTCCCATGTACCAGCCTGGAGAGGGGGCCGTGGGACTCCAAGCTTTAGGTTAGGATGCAGCCCGCCTCCCCTAGCCCTACCAGCTGGTGCCCCTGCCCGTCTCTCCCGCCTCTGACCTGCTGAACTCGTAGATGTCCTCGATGTTGGCAAATAGTATGCCCACCTGCTCCGTGCTCAGCCCTAAGACCCCGCCATCCAGCAGAGGACCCAGGTAGTCCTGTGGGGATGACTGGGGTTATGGGGGGCGGTGGAGGGCTGGCCTGGGTCCCCACTGTGCTCGGGTACCCGCCTGCCTCACCTCCACAATGCTGCGAAGGTCCCGGACATAGGCCCGCTCTGTCTCCACGATCTCGCGAGCCACTCGCTCTAGCCTCGAGGGTTTGGCGGAACCCGGAGTCCCCACAGGTGACAGATGCAGGCGGATGGGGGGTCCTGGAAGGGGCTCTGGCCTAGAGGCTGAGCAGGCTGGGGCGGGCCCTGGAGCCGGGTCCCCCTCGGAGCCCACCGTGCTCAGGGATGTGGAGCTCCCAGAACCTCGGGGGGAGGCCATGGCAGGGGTTGCAGGGGCTGCCAGGGGTGAGAAGCAGGAGATCAGGCCGTCTCCCCAGCTGAACGAGTGCAGCCCTACGCTCACCCACCCCAGGTCAACATCTGCCCCTCCCCTCCTCCCAGGGCTCCCTTCTTCTCTTGCCACTGCACTGCCTTGGTCCCGTCCCGTTCTCTCCCATCAGCATCTTCTCTGGGCTTCGACCTCCACTTTTCTAGTCCACCTCCGTGTGTCAGCCTGGGAGATCTTTATTAATTTGCCCGTTTGGCCCTGTCACTTTAAGTATAACCCCTTCATGCCCTCAGGAGAAAGTCCAAACCCCTCAGATCCACACTGCCCTATGCAGCGTGGCCATCAGAGACTTTTCCAGTCTGTTCTCTTCCCACAGACACACCACTTCTCACACTCCAGACTCCAGTCGTATTCGGCTGCCTTCAGTTACTTAAAAACACAGCCTTCTCTCACCTCTGCACATACTTTTCCCTCTGTGTGGAATAATCTTCCTTGCTTTTCCCAACTCATTGCTGCTTATCTTTTAATTCTATTATGTCTCCTCCTCCAGGAAGCCTCCACTGAGTTCCCATACTGGGCTCCCACAGTGAGAGGAAAGGGCTATCACCCCCACCCCCACCCCTGCCCAGGCTTGACCGCTGGACTCTGGGTGTCCGCCTCCGGACTGTCACCATTTAGGGATGGTTCCATCTGCCCCACCAGACTTGGGAACTCTGTGTAGGCAGAGCTGGGACTGTCTTGGTCACCCTATGTGGCCAGCACTGGGCCAGCCAGTGTCTTGAGTGAAGGAACAAATGCCCAGCAAGCTCCACCCTCCCTTGGACTCTCACCTGTCTGGGTCTCACACACGGCTGTGCAGTCACACAGTTCACCTGTGGGGCCACGGCCAAGGCTAGGGCTGGGTTTGGACAGGCTCGGTCCGCGGGCTCCCTCGGGCATGGCTGAGTGGCTCAGCGGCTTCTGCGGAAAGACCCCCTTCTCGGATATCAGGACCCCATCGGCTTCCCCGCCGCCCACACTCACAGATTAGGCCAGAGAATTAGGAGTGTGATCTAAGTCCAGGAGGGACCGGAGAGTAAATAATGGGGCAGACAGAGGCATAGTGATAGAAAGAGGGGCACCAGGAGAGATAACACAGAGAAAAAGATGGAAAGGTTGAGACAAAGAAGAGTGAAGCTAGGAGTCTGGTCTGTCTGGGGCCGGAGGCTCAGGGATCCTGGGAACGTTTGGGCTCTGGCTGGAGCCGAGGGCGAGGGGCAGGGCTGGGAAAAGCCGTGGGCGGGAGGCCGGGAGGTCCCTGGGGAGGGCGGAGGAGGCTGGGGGACCGGATGCCAGGGTCCTGCAGACGGCTCCCTCCCCCGCCCAGGGCTGCGAGTTGGGGCGCTGGCCCTGAGCCCTCGACCCACTCCCCTCTCCAGCCAGTCCCTCCGCGATCCGCTTACTGTCCCCACCGCCTCGGCGAGGGTCCCCAGCGCCTTCCCACACCCTTTCAGACCCAAACTCCCGCCGGCGCCTCCGCTCGCCCCCCGCCGGCACGCCCCCTCATTGTTCAGCGGCAGCGGCGCCGCCCCCTCCCCCAGCCCGTCGGGGCCCCTCGCCTCCCCCCTCACCTCCCAGGGAGTCTCCAGCCCCGAGCCGAGGCTGCCGGATTCCTATTCAACCCTAGCACGGTCCCCGGGGAGACGCAAAGCCGGACTCCTGGGTCTCTGCAAGTCAGGGGCGTGAACTTCGGGCTCTCAGCCTCCGGGAACCAGAATCCGAGGTCTCTCGGAGAGTGGGATGCAGCGGTCCGAATCTCCTGGTCCTCTCAATGGGGGATGCTGGGAGTCTCGACTCTTGGGTCTCCGATGGGGTGCTGGGGACCCAAGTTCCTGAGTCTTCTAGATAGGGCCGTGGGGCGACCGGATTCCTGAGTTCCCCTAACTCTAGGAGCAGGGATTAAACCATCTCCAGGCGGGAGCGCAGGGGAGTCCCCAGTTCCTGGGTCCCCTGGAAGGAGTGGGCGTTTCAGCACCAAACAGACTGGCCGGGGTGCTGGGAGTCCGTTTGCCAAGTTCGGATGCTGGGCTCGGATATCTGGGAACCGTTGGAGGTAATCACCGATCTGGGATCCCAAGTTCTTTAAAACGGGGTGCAGAAAGCTCGGCCTCCAGGAACGCGCGGGGCTGACGTCCCGGACTCCCGGCTCCTCCAGGAGGGGGCGCTGGGCACCTGGATATCTGGGGTCCTTTAGCCTGGACGCGGGGTCCCGGGCTTCGGGGTCTCTCAGGGAGCGGTACACAGACTCACGACGCCAGAGTCCACGACTTTGGACCCTTCGGGTTCTGGGATGAGTACCACGGGGCTCCGGCGGCGGCAGCGCCACATCTGTGGCGGGAGAGTCGGGTCCCAGCTGTGAGGCGGGGGGCGGTCGCCTAGGGCTTCCCCTCCCCCCCGAGCCGCCCCGGCGCACATCCTGTTCCCGCCCGCGGGGGGGAGGGGCTGCCTTCCGGCCAGCCAGTCGGTAAAGGGTTAAGACCCCTCCCCCCTGATTCTGAATATTCATAAGAAGGCGAGTCCCAGAAAGGCTACACCCCCACATTCCAAAAGCTTCTGACTTTTCCCTTTTACAGCAAGGGCCTTCAGGGCGTGAGAATCCGGAACTGGTAACGCACTTTCTCCCATTGGTCAACCGAACAATTCTTATTTGCATATGCAGTAAAGGCGGAGCTGTCCAGCGGGGAGGGTCACGTGTCCAAAAGCGACTGAAGGACCTCGCGGCGCGAGGGTGCGGCCGGAGCTCCAGTGGCGCAATCGGTTAGCGCGCGGTACTTATACGACAGTGCGAGCGGAGCGATGCCGAGGTTGTGAGTTCGATCCTCACCTGGAGCACCTTTTTTTCTGTTACCAGCATTTTACAAATGTATACGTCTTGTAAGTGAACTAAAACATCTACATCACCACCGAGGGGAGCGAGCATTGGATCTTCGGAGCTTTTGGGTTAGAAAGACTCCTGGAACTAAGGCAGCTGCCCGGGAGTGTTCTGTACTGTGGGGAGGTGCCCTTTCCATCCTGGCCGCCAGAGGGTGCTATCGCCTCTTATATGCCTGCGAATTCAATTGGGTCTGCAAATCTCAGTTTAAGACTTCTGTAGACGTGTCGGGTTCTCCTCTGCAAACTGTCCAAGGCATTGCTTTTTCTTCTCCATCTTCTCTCTCTCTCTCTCTCTCTCTTTTTTTTCCAGTTTCATTGAGATATAATTGCCATATAACATTGTATTAGTCCAAAGTGTACATGATTCGATATATGTATAAATTGAGAAAAAGAGTTTAGTTGACATCAGTCACGTCACATATTTTTTTTCTCTTGTGTCTTGGATTTTTCACTTTCCCTTTTCCTCCCTCTTTCTGAGTTGGTTTGTTCCTTTCAACAAATACTAAACGTGCACTATGTGACTGACTCCTGTTTAGGGTTTAGGTGTGAGTGATAGAGCAGTGAACAAGACAAAGTCCCTGCCGTTGAGGATTTGACATTCTTAGCTGGAGAGACAAGTTTCTATAAACATGAAAACTAAGTATATTTTATATGTTCGGTGTGGGCTGCAGTAATAGTAGTCAAACACCATCTCACTCAGAAGGCATTTGAGCAGGAACCTAATGGAGGGGAGTAAGCCATAGGGATAACTGGGGAATATTTCAGGTAGCCATAGTAGCCTGTGCAAAGGCCCTGTGGCTGAAGCAGGTCAGGTATAATGGTGGAGCAGCTAGGAAGCCAGTGTGACTAGAGCAAGAGTAGCCAAAGGTAAGAGTCAGGCCACGTAGGCTGGTAAGGTCTTAGGACTTTGCCTTTTATGTGATGGGACTCTGACTCAGGTGTCAGGACAAGTTCCCTGTGGTTGTTTTGTTGGGGAGTGGGGAGAGACTGAGGGCAGGTCCTGGGCCAGGAAAGCAGGAAGGGACTGCTATGAAGGTTCAGGTGGGAGATGATGCTGGATAGGACCACGGTGGGGGCCACAGGAGGAGACAGGTAGATGTATTTAGAAGGTGAATCAGACAGAATTGCTGTTGGACTGGGGTGTGTTTGACAACGAAGAGTCAAGGGGACTCCCAGGTGTTTGGTACCGGTAGCTGCTGGTAGGGACCATTTTCTCAAATGAGGTTCGCTTTTGTTTTTACCAGCAGAGACTGTTTTTTCTAAGGCAGGGGCCAGGGATGTCAGTTTCTTGTACCTCAAGTGTCTGTAAATGTCTCCTCATGGCTTGTTCTTGCTCTCTGCCTCCCCACTGTCTTTGGATCTCCGCATTTCTATATATATTTTTTTCCAACCCTCTTCTAAGTTTGGGGATCTGAGCCCTTTCCCAAAACTGAGGCGGGGG